GTATGCAAATTACCACATTGTTTGCGGGTAGTTTTTATCGTGCACTAACAGGTGGTGCTAGTGCGGGCCATTTTTGCTAATTTTTTGCGCAAATGGCAACATTCAGTAAAATTACGATAACTTTAGTTTACGTATTTATACGTTACCCACATTCTACCGCTAGTCTATAAAAAACATATTAATATGTGTCCCACGCTCTACTACCAGTCAACGTAAAACGTATAAGTAAAACGTATAAATACGTTTCCCACATACAATGTGTTAAGAATCCTTATTTCCTTCTTTTACTACATTACTCACATTTATTAGATAAATATGAGGGGAAAATACTGAATATTTCTATTGTAACATCCTATATAATAAAGAGCTAATATGCAAATGGTCATCACGCCCTCACGCCCTTGTGCCAGGGGACCTGAGGACAAGCCAGGGGACCTGAGGCTGTGCCCCCCACCTGGCGCCAGGCTGGGGGACTGGAGGCTGTGCCCCCCGCCCTGTGGGGCTTGACGGGGGTGGGGCTGGCCAGTCCTGGGTCTCACGCTATTTCTAGGCACGTACAGGTGGACGGACACTTGACTCTGGGTCCCACGGCGCACCCCAGACTCTGACAGAAGGGATATTTCCATATACATTTTACTAATTTTCTTTCATCTCTGAAACTTCTATTATAGAGAAAGGGCAAAGAGCAAAATTAAAATATTTCCTCCAATTAATTCCCTTTTCATGTGAATGAATTTCATGCACCGAGCCACTAGTTTTAGAAAAAAACTTTTATATCTAAAACTTTTTGTCAAAGAGGTGGCACAAATGAAAATCAGTCTAACTCCAGATTTCTCAACATCAGTACATTGAGCCAGATAACTTTGTTTTAGGGCTGTCCTGTACAATATGATATTTAGTAGCATCCTGGGGTTCCACCAGCTAACCCTTTCTGTTAGTTGTAACAATCAAAACTGTCTCCTAACATTACCCAATGTCTCTTATGGGAAGACCACTGGTCTAGCCAAATACTGCAAAACCTCAATATAACAGGCTAATTCAAGTGAGGGAGTATCTATTAAAACAGAAAGTCTGTTATGTAATAAAGTAGGTTTTCCAAATGTGTGTTAAAAAAAATTGAAAAATTAGTTTACCTGTTTTTACTTATACAGACACATCTGTATAACTAATATTAAGGAGGTATGAAAAGTTTAATTTCACAGAAAGGTTTTCTATGTGTATTACTGTAATTTTAAGTTTATACTGACTAGATTTAGTAAATGCGTGCATTCACCAGTCACTAAGAGTAAACAAATGCACACGGCTGGGGCGTGGTTTAGCGCACATGGGAACTTCAGCTGGTACATGTTAAAACTGCTGTAGAAAGTCACGCCATGCAACAACAGAACCAAGTACTACAGGCAATGCTGTGAGATCATTCCCCAAACATTGTTTATAAGCAGTAATTCTTGGATTTAAATATGTAGACTATAGCTGTAGATATGTAATATTTACTAATGTCAATAAAATTACTAGTGTTTTTTCCAACATATGGCTTATTCGCTAAAATTTGTTAAATACAGTGAATTAATAACAAAAAAATAACCTGTTAATTGATTATAAGTAAATCTTGGTTAAAAGCTTTTTAAAATTAACAGGGTGTTAATTTTCACATACGACTTTCAGACCGGAAATTTTGTCCGTTAAATCAGAAGTCCATTAAGTTGAGGTCAGCAAAATCGAGGGTTTACTATAAATCCTTACCATGAATCCTTTGACTGTTCTGTAGTAGGAATCCAATAAAAGAGAGCCAAGGGAACAAACCTGGGAAGTTCTATCCCAGCCATCAGAACAATGAACCAACACACTTGCATTTTCCACCATTATTGCCTGAAAAGAAAGATCACATACTTAGATTCTAGCAGGATACATTTAAGTGAATCAGTAAGTTCTACTTACTCAAAAACCATTGAGTATCCTATATAATAAAAGCCTAATATGCTAAGTGTCCAACTGTTCATTCGACCATTTAACCAGTCGCTATGATGCGCACTGACCACCAGGGGGCAGATCCTCTGACCGGTATAGCTTGCTGCTGGGGTCCGGCCAATTGGGAGTGGGCAAGATGGACTGTGCAAGATGGGCTGGACACACCCTGGAGCCCTCCCACAGTCCCTCCCCGGCCTCTAAAATATTTCTTCTAATTAATTTCCTTTCACTGTGCACAAATCTGTGCACCAGGCCTCTAGTTGCATTACAAAGAGCTAGCACTGCAATGATAATGCTATCACAACATAATTTCTGAAAAACAAGATAAAACACAAAGCATATAAACAAAAACAAAGACAAACATGCTATTTAAAGTGTTTGAAATGTTTTTAAGCCCATACATGAAGTGTTACATGGCATTTTTAAAGCTCAAATTAAATGAACCTCATTAAAAAGGTAAAGCAAAATAAAAATTATCTGACTGGAAAAGATACCAGCACTCAACATAATAAATCCATTCCTTCCCAACCACTATAAACCCCAAAATCAAATATAAGTGATGAAGAGTTACTTTGGCTAAGAAGATTGCAGCGTCCATGACAGCTTTGATATGGCGAAGCCATCCTGAGCTCTCCAAACCAGAGTAGAAATCATTGACAGAAAGCCCTTTGGTACCATTAACTGAAAAGGGGGGGAAAAACATTCCAATTAGAACAGGCTATCCTCCTCTTCTCCTATTCAAGATTATCTCTAGGTGAGTAAATTGGGGAAGAGGACAAAATAAATAGTCAAGACTCTTTATAAATGAAAAGATGCTATCAGAAATTCAACGACAGATTCTTTGTTACATTTTGCTGTCATTCCTTGTGGTTAAAAAAACCACTCCTGCCCTAACCAGTTTGGCTCAGTGGATAGAGCGTCAGTCTGCGGACTGAAGGGTCCCAGGTTCGATTCCGGTCAAGGGCATGTACCTTGGTTGCAGGCACATCCCCAGTAGGGAGTGTGCAGGGGGCAGCTGATCAATGTTTCTCTCTCATCGACGTTTCTAACTCTCTATCCCTCTCCCTTCCTCTCTGTAAAAAATCAATAAAATAAAAAAAGCACTCCTATTTCATTTTTCAAATTTTGCAGTGTTTAATTAAAAAGTCTTATATTTTAATTTTTTAAATTCTATACCATGAGTAGAAAGATATCTTAATATTTAAATGGAACATTATCATAAATTAGTCTAAACTGCATTGATTCATCAAGAATATCTAACAATAGTAATCTATACTAATAAAAGGGTAATATGCTAATTAGACCAGACATCTTCCGGACAAAGCCACAGTGGCAGGGGCCGAGGCATAGGCCGTTAGGAGCTATCAGGCCGGTAGGGAAGGGCAGTTAGGGGGCGATCAAGCCAGCGGGGGAGCACAGTTAAGGGGTGATCAGGCCAGCAGGGGAGGGCAGTTAGGGGGTGATCAGGCTGGCAGGGGAGGGCAGTTAGGGGGCGATCAGGCTGGTAGGGGAGCAGTTAGGGGGCGATCAGGCCGGCAGGGGAGCAGTTAGGGGGCAATCAGGCTAGCAGGGGAGGGCAGTTAGGGAGCGATCAGGCTATCAGGGAAGGGTAATTTGGGGGCAATCAAGCCAGCAGGGGAGCAGTTGAGGGGGCAATCAGGCCAGCAGGGGAGCAGTTAGGGGGCAATCAGGTTGGCAGGCAGAGGTTGGGACAATCCAACAGGCAGGCAGGCTAGTGGTTAGGAGCCAGTGGTCCCGGATTGCGAGGGGGATGTCTGACTGCCAGCAGTCGAACATCCCCCAAGAGTTCCCGGACTGGAGAGGGTGCAGGCCAGGCTGAGAGACCCCCCTGCCCCGTACACAAATTTCGTGCATTGGGCCTCTAGTTTTTTATGAAAACCATTAGCATTGTACTATCTAATACAGTAGCTACTACCCAAAATGACTATTGAATACCTGAAATGTAGGTAGTTCAAACTGAGATGTACTGAAAGTATAAACTGTCTAAGACTTAAAGGCAAAAAATGTAAAGAAAATCATCACAAATTTTTTATATTGATTACACGTTTAACATGTTTTTAATATTTTAGGTTAAATATATTAAAATTAATTTCAACTGTTTATTACTTTTTTAAATGTGACTACTAGAAAATTTCAAAGTACATAATTTAACATTTTTAATGTTTGACTAGCATATTTCTATGGAACAAGGCTGACTAGAAGGTAAGCAATAATCATACCTTCCAATAACTTCTGAAGGCTGGACCGCATGACATGAATATTTTCAATTCCAACAAACTGAAATCTAATATTAGAATAGTTGTCTTCATTTTCGTAACCTTTTCCAGCTGCTCTGTTGGCTATTGCATTCAGCTAAAAATTTAAATTTTAGAAATTTAGAGACAAATTGCTTTTATCTTATAACTTATGAAAATATCATGAAAACACTAAATAAACTCTATTTTAGCTAGCAGACAATTTAAAGGAATTCACCACAACTAAATATACTACCATTTTTTAATAAGCAAAACTCTCGCCCTGGCCTGTGTGGCTCAGTTCGTTGAGTGTCATCCTGTGCACCGAAAGGTTGCCAGTTCGATTCCTAGTCAGGGCACATGCTCGTAATGCAGGTTGGATCCTGGGTCAAGGTGTATGGGAGGCAATCGATTGATGTCTTTCTCTCACACTGATCTTTCTTTCTCTCCCTTCCTCTTTCCAATAAAAACATATAAAAAATAAGTAAAAGTCTCACATGTTAATAACAGCAATGAAGGAATACTATAAAGAAACAATGTGATTGCTATATAACTGAAAGGTCAAACAAGAAGTTCCCCACAAATAATTCATAAAACTAATTCACTTAGGTTTTTAGGTGTTCATAAATATTTCAAAATCTAAAACTAGAAAGATCTCCAATCTGAATCCTAAATGATTCAGAGAGAAGCAGAGCTGGATAGTTTTTATTTTTCAGAATGAGCCTATGAGATTCACCTCAGAACAAGCCTACAGCACTTTATCATTCACAAAGCCACAGGGATCCTAAAATTCAGATCTGAAATATACATGAGATTATTTTAGGTCCTCTATATTAGAGACTGCTGGAGGCCCACACACTATATAAAATGCATATAATCCATTAGCTTGATACAGCTCTAAGAAATGGTTCCAAAAAAATTGGTCCTTTATGGAGAAACAGACTGCCAGTAGTCCCATGACCTTGGGTGTTTAGATCGATGCTATCAGAGGTTCACTTAAGATTTGCCATATTTATTTCTTTGAGAGTAGGATTTTATATAGCATATTATTACAATTTACTAAATATTCTTATGTACTTGGATGTAACAGAACCTAAATTTTAGAAAGAAATAGTAGCTTATCATTCATTGGATTGAGGTTGGTAACAAGTACAGTTAAATTATATTTACTGACTCACTGGTTACTCAGCACCTACGATTACTAAGGTTAGTGATTAGATATTTAAAATGTTCCACATTATTACTACTTAAGTTTAACTGGTCAAACAAAACAATCAAAGAAAGATATATTTTCTCTGTAGAAGTCAGTTATACAATTAAGACATATTAGGTCCTAAGAAACAAATTGCCCTCAGACCTTATATTCAAAAAGTCTTGTATTACAATCATCTTTTTTATCTAACAGCACCCTAAAAATGTTCTAACCAATTAATCCACCCAGATTATACAAGGAAGTAAAGTAAAATTTTTCTTATAAGAGGTATCACCAACACTCTTGACTTCTAAGAAAGTCTTTTCCTTTTAACAAAATAAAATATTACCAAAGTATCAGTTTCTAATTTTTAATACTCCTAATTTACTCAAATTAATCTTATCATATGTTTTCTTCATTATCTTTTGTAAGACTGCATAATGATGAGAATTACTTCTAAAACAGCTACCATTCCTTTCAAAAAGGCTGTCTATAATTGTGGTCTATATGGCTCACTCGCTTTTTCTCATCGCTTTCTCTTATTTTTTCATCATTCCAGATTTCTGAAGAAATCCTCACTATAATTCTGCCAATGTCCTTTTGTGTAGCCCACCAGCTCTGCATGCGATGCTATAATAAAAATTAAAAGTAATGTTAGCTATTACCATTGCAGATTTTAATTATTTTAGTTTCAGGATCCTATATGAATTGGCTGTTTAACTGTGTTTATAAAAAAAAAGAAAAAATGGATTGTGACATTTGACAAAAATTTAACCTTACACAATGGATGGCTAACAGAACAATTATTTCCTGTTCACTATTTATGATGCTCTAGTTCAATGTTTCCTAAGTTAACTCACTATGTATTTTACGTATTTTCTTGCATTTAAGGTCTATTAATACACAGTGTTTTGCCAATTGAAATTCTAATAGAATTGCTAATTTTTCACAATACACAAACTATTTAGTATTTCTTCACAGTAACATAATGCTTTTACACCATCAATAGTCAGCTTTCCTAAATATATATCAGAAATTAAGAAACTACCATCTGGGTTACTAGGAAATTAGTCTCCTAAGTTAGTATCCTTTAAAAAACTGATTTTCTTAGTATCATTAGCCTTGGTGAATTTAAAACAAGGATTCAGTATGTTAAATGAGAACAAATTAATAAACTCTCATTAATTAAAGTAACAAAGATAACTGAACTAACAGACTATACTGTATTCAAGGCACATACTTTAGGCCTGGTATCCACGACATACATATAGCGATTGGCTGGATTGGCTTTACTGATGGCTTGAAGCAAATGTTCATCTTCCAGACACCTGGCACTGAATCCCGACAGTGGTTGACTGCATCGACAAATGGCAGCCTAATTTTAAAAAGACAGAAAACAGATTATGCAAAGATATCTAAAACATGTCTTATAAAATGCTTAAAAGGGAAAAAAAAGTTAAAATCAAATGTACTGTCTGTTTAAAAGTTGGCAGGACAATTACAAGGCATTAACTTTGAAATCTTATTTGAATTAAATATTATTTCAACATCTTGGTGTTAATTTTTCCCAATATTCTAAGAAACCTAAATGCCTCCTTACCTAGTTGGATTAAAAAAAAAAAAATACGTTGGGTCCTTAGAAGCAACACCTGGTCAAATCTCTATTACCTAACTGAAGATACAAGTGCCCTAGATTATAAAATACTTTCAACTCAAGTTCAAGTAAGAGATCAGTCAATAAGTTCAGAACAGAATTTTTTTAAATAGCAAGCAACATTCAAACTTTTACTTTCCAAAGGTTTTTGGGTCTCTAATTAGAAATCATCAATCTCTATATAAAATGAGGTATAAAATGAGTTTTAAATCAGATTTGGGTTAAAATACAGTCAATCTAAGAGGGCAAAAATATCTATAAGAAATAGTGAATGTTGGATTAGATATTTACTGTTGTTTAAAGTCTTTAAAAAAACTCACAAAATTGTGATAAAATAGAAAAAAAAATGAGGATTGTCTTATTAAGTGTTTTCCAGACCTACTTCCTGATTTGTTAAGCTGGGCATTGAATGTCTATTTTTAGCCCAGATTTCCAATTAAAAATGTACATACAAACATGGGTGTGTCAAACGAAAACCATAACTACTCTTATCTCCCTATGATTTTGTTATGAAAAGTAGATTAGGAACTTTTGTTTAAAGTTTTACTTATTATCTATGGCTCCCTTCTAAAACCCGCCTTGAATTTCTAATAAAGAAATTTAATATGTATAAAACCAAAAGGTCAAAGAAAATGGGAAAAGAGGCAAAGATAGAGTAGAAATGTCAATAAAAATTGGGGAAATGAATGCAAATTGACTATAACCGATTTACCGGAGCAAAAAAATATGTTAAATCATTATGAGTCAGTAAGAAACAGGTATTTTGAACAGCAAAACCCCAGACAGGGTAAAGATTTGGTACCTCTGAAAGCCTGAGTGCAGGTAAAATGGAAAACAACAGAGCGGGCTGAACTTCTATATATGATCTACTTAACAATCCCAGATGTTCCCTCACCCTGAAGAAAAAGTTTATTCTATGAAGAGGATTAACCTGAAGACTCTGGGCTGTAGGAACAGCTGTAGTTGGGGATGAAGCCCTGCATCCCCCAAAGACAGGATTAAGCAAAGCCTGCATAACAAAATGTGAAGTCTTCCCATCCCTCTTCCCACACTTGGATCCAGACTAAACCACACACACATTGGGACAAACATTACAAGAGAAAGAAGAATCCAAAGATAACGATCATTCACGGATACAAACTTCTAAACAGCTTTGTAGTACCTCACTCTTAAATATGAGAGGCAGGCCAAGAATCAGATATCTGAAAAATATGAAAACAAATTAACAAAAAACACACAAAATAAACAGGAAAAAAAAACTAGACAAAGAGATAACTATGTGGGAGCACAAGAATTCTTTTTAAAAAATCCTTAGCCTCTTCAGAGAAGTAAGTTCATCACATCCAAGAATAGAAAATCACCTAGAAAGTTCAGAAAACAAGAAACAGTTCTTTGATTTTTAAAACACAGCAGCCCGGCCAGTGTTGTTCAGTGGTTGAGCATCGACCTATGAACCAGGAAGTCACAGTTTGATTCCCGTCAAGGCACATGCCCAGGTTGCAGGCTCGATCCCCAGTGTAGGGGATGCAGGAGGCCAGCAGGTCAGTGATTCTCTCTCATCATTAATGTTTCTATCTCCCCCTCTCTCTTCCTCTCTGAAATCAATAAAAAAATATATTTTTTAAAACACTATGGCAAAAAACAACAACACAGTTCTAAGGGCTGGATTGGAGTGAGGTTCAGGAAATCTTCCCCACTACCCTGAATCTTGTAGTGAGACTTACAGACATGTCTAAGCAAAGAAAGACATAGAAGATTGGAGAGAAAATGAAGAAAAATGGAGGTTTATGCTAGGAAGCCTACTTGTCAAGTAATACTCACAAAAGTAAAAAGAAAGTTAATAAAAGAGAGGAAGTTACCAAAGAAACAAAGAAGCAACTTCCCAAAACTGAGACCTGAATTTCCAGATAGAATTTAAAACAACAAGCCAAGGCACATAACTGAAATTTTAGAACACTGCAGAAAAGGAAGAGTTTAAAAGCTTCCTGAGAGAAAAAAATCAGGTTACAAAAAACTGGTAGTCAGAAACGGCATCCAAATACTCAACTTACCAGTTGTGAGATATAGGAAAAGTGATTTATCCTTTCTGAACCAGTTCCCCCATTTGAAAGTTATAGGTAATTTGCAGAGCCTATTTTATCAAGTTACTAGGAGGATTTCGTGCATATAAAGCATTCAACATACAGTACCTCCTGGCCTACTGTTACAAGATATAAAGGTTTTACTATATTGTCAATCCCTATCTCAGTATAAAGATGCCTCCTCTGCCTCTTCATATTGCAAAATCCTTCCAATTTGAAGAGCTTACTATTAAATGGGAGCCTGAAATATCCTTGATTCTCTCCCTTTTCTCAATAGTTGGCTTGTCAAAACTATTTGTTTTCCCCCAATACAAGCAGGATCAAAAGATAACCACTTGCAAGGAAGAGAATCTACCTAATCCCATTATTTTCAAATCGCTACTAAAAGGAAGGAAAGAATAGAGGTGGTGGAGGTGAAAGATAGATGACAAGTACGAACGTTTCTGTATTTCAGGGTAATTTTGTTTTAAAATATAAAAAATGTCATTAAGTGAAAAGCCAGCACTTCTCTATCAGCAATATTATAATAATGACATCTTAATATAAAAGTGAGCATTGTTTTGGATACTAACACCTGAAAGGGGTTATACTACATTGGTAAAATCAAAAGGAAAGTTGCCTACCTCCTTATTTTGATGATAGTAGGAAAGAACTGGAAATCTTCCCTTGCTCCGGAACTTAGAACTACCAACAATTATTGGTTTGCTTGCTATTCGGGGAACATAAAGTTCTCTGGGATAAGTTTCACAAATCTGTAAAAATCAAAACATAACCAACCATGAGGTTAAAAACCATCTTTATAAAACTTTAAAACTTACTAATGCAAGAACAGCACACAGCAATACAGAGACAACTTGCTATTACACTTTCTGACTCTCTGGTACTAACATTTTCTGAATTTCCCCAGAAGGTTGCTAAGTTACCTTGTATTCTCGGTTGGCATCAGACAACTGCCAGTTTGAATTTGGCACGCCCATTCTCTTATATTCCTCAGCAAGGTCAATAAGCTGCCAACCTCGCAGTCGTTCAGAATCATTTTGTTTGGGGTTATAAGAGAACGCATAGAGATCTTCGTATTTTGCTATAGTATACAAAATGCATAAATGTTAAAATGCAACATACAGGACTTAATAAGTGACAAATAAAAGTAATTTTCAGTTTTACCCTCCATTTTCTTTAAACTCTTCAAAGAGATAGCTAATACCAGAAATATTTGAACTTAAATTTTCTCAGTTCTTTGATGCAAATGATTATACCTAAAGGCATCACTATATCAATCTGAGATTCAGTTTATATCATCAGTAAAAGCTAGTAAATAATACAGTTAGATTTATACATTACTCTACTGCAATGTTTCCTTTTCTTAAAAGTAAAATTTTAAAGACACACATAAATTCCTACCCACCACTTTTCCCAAATGAGATATAAAGGCTAATGCTACAATGAAAAATTAGAGGTGCCACATAGAACATTAAATTGTCTATATATATTCCTATAGTACAGTTTGACCAAAAATGGCAAAGGTTGCACAGAGGTCCAGAGAACACTTACTTCTAAACAATCATAAGCCCCTGAAGTTGTAAGATTCGACTTGGAAAGTGGGATAAATGTTACAGGCTTTATGTGTTAGGATAAAAGAGTGAACAAAAATCTGCTCTTAGACCACTGCAAACCAGGTGTCAAACAAAGTAACATCCGGAAATTAATGTGCTTTGTCTCCCTGGAGATACCTATGTAATTCAAGTTATGTTGGGAAAAGGAAGCCTCCAGATCCCTAACACATAGTAGTGGTAAGATTCCTCTTTGGGGCTTTATCCCTCTCATTCCTTATCTCTACTAAAGTAGGATTTACCCTCTCTTTTCTTTCTGTTCATCTCCCTACATACCACTCTAGTCAATTAGATATATTAGTCCCATGCTATCAGAAGAGCCTGACCTTCCTTAACTTTTCCTTTAGTGATCAATTTCTAAGACACTCCCCTTGGCTATGGGATTCTTTAAAAAACAAACAAACAAAAACAAAAAGGCTATGCTACTGGCTATCAACAGACTTCTAAAACATTAATATAAATCTACTAGAGGTCTGGTGCACAAACTTGTGCACAAGGAGGTTGGCCGGCCAAGGGGAGGGACTGCAGGAGGTTTGCCAGCTGCGGGAAGTTGGCTGTGGGAGCACACTGACCACCAGGGGGCAGCTCTTGCATTGAGCATCTGCTCCCTGGTGGTCAGTGCGCGTCATAGCAACTGGTCAACCAGTCATTCGGTCACTTAGGCTTTTATATATATAGACTAGAGGTCCCGTGCACGATTTCGTGCACTGGTGGGGTCCCTTGGCTTGGCCTGTGGGGATTGGGCCGAAATCGGTTCTCCAACACCCCCAAGGGGTCCTGGATTGCGAGAGGGCAGTTCTTGGGTGACACACCCTGGAATCGGGCTCAACCCTCTCTGGTCCTGGGTGTGTTACCCAAGAACCACAGCTGTCAAGTCACTGCAGCTCGGCAGCTCCTACGTTGAGCATCTGCCCCCTGGGGATCAGTGCATGTCATAGCTACTGATTGGAGTGTCTGCCCCCTGGTGGTCATTGCATGTCATAGCTACCGATAGGACGATCGCTTAGGCATTTATATATAGAGATAGTTTTTTAAGTCTGTACTACAAATGCTTCATTTTGTTCTTACTATTACCCCTTCTTTGGAAACCATTATTACAACTCAGACCAGAAGTTTCTAATTACTTTTAGGTCAAATTTTTTAGAATAGAGTGCACAAGAATTCAACTCAAAAGCAACTTACCATGTGTACCGGTTAATAATGCAGATTTTGTGATCAAGGAAAAGACGATAATTTCAAGAGAAACATCAAAAGTGCTTTATTCAAAATAATGTCCATCGCTAGCTACACATTTCCCCCATCTTTCAGGTAATTTGTGGATACTGTCCCAATAGAACTTTTCTTGTTTTGAGGCAAACCATTCAGAGACCCAATTTTCCACTTCTTCATATGTGTTGAAGTGCTGCTCAGAAAGTGTGCATGCCACTGATGGGAACAAGTGGTAATCTGAAGGAGCGAGGTATGATGAATATGGTGGGTGGGTTAATACTTCCCAGGCAAGACCTTTTAACATGTCTTTAACTGGTTTTAAAGTGTGTGATGGTGCGTTATCATGAAGCAAAATTACTTTGTCGTGTCTTCTGGCCCATTCTGGTTGTTATACAATTAAAGTGTGGTTCCAATTGATTATTTGTTGTCAGTAGCGATCAGTATTAACAGTTTCACCTGGTTTTAGAAGCTCATAATATACAACTTCCTGATCCCACCAAACGCAGAGCATTGTCTTCTTTCCGAAGCAATTTGGTCTTGCAGTCGATGTTGATGGTTGACCTGGATCAACCCATGATTTTGTCCATTTGGGAATTCTTAAAATAAATCCACTTTTCATCACCAGTCACAATTTGATACAAAAAAGACTTTCTTTCGTGCCGTTGAAGCAACATTTTACTGATGACTTTTCGGTTTTCCAACTGTCTTTCGTTCAGTTGATGTGGCACCCATTTTCCTTCCTTTAATATTGTTCCCATTGCTTAATGCTTGTAATTGTTGTTCTTCAAACATTTTCGGTTGACCAGGACGTTCTTTGCCTTTAACATCGAAATCATCACTTTTAAAGCATTTAAACCAGCATTCACAAGTATCTTGAGATGAAGCATGTTCACCATGAGCTTCCTGAAGTATATGGTAACTTTCAGCAGCACTTTTCTTCAAAATAATGAAGTAAAACTTCCCACAAATGCTTTTTTTTCAGTACAAAATTCGACATTTCTAAGCGTAAAAATATCTTTTTTTTCGGTACAAAATTCGACATTTCTAAGCGTAAAAATACCTACGATGTTAACACCTTCAGAAAATTTGACATACAGTATGAAGTTTTGAAGCTTGCTGTCAATATAACAAAATAGCATATATATCAAATCGCATATATATCAACATATGTGTAACTCCATCTATTGAAAAAAATCTACATTATTAACCAGTACACTTGGTAAGCCCAGCCAGTGTGGCTCAGTGATTGAACGTCAACCTATGAACCAGGAGGTCACAATTCGATTCCTGGTCATGAAACATGCCCGGGTAGCAGGCTCGATCCCCAGTAGGGAGCATGTAGGAGGCAGTGGACTGATGATGTTTCTCTCTCATTGATGTTTCTACTTCTCTATCCCTCTCCCTTCCTCTAAAAAAATCAATAAAAACATTTTTTTTAAAAAAAGAGTAACTTAAACTATAAAATGGCAATAATGAGATACTAAGTAAAGTATCTTAGATAATCCATCTCAAAATTAAGCAAGCTTTGGTCTCTAAGAACAGTACCTTGTTTTGACAGTTGTAGCAAAGAGTTGTAAATATCATGGCAATCTCTTTCTCTGGGAACAATGAAATGCACAATCCTGAAGTTCTTGCACTGAATCACAAGTGGGCATCCAGAAGTCGTCAAAGCCAGTTTCTCCACTGAGCCAATATGATGATGCAATATCTACAGCAGAAAAAATATTTATCATCATTATAAAAAGTAATAAATATCTTATTCTCTTCCACAGTGCAAAAATGTTAGAAATGTCCTCTCCAAATAAAGTCTCAAATGTTATACACTACAAACCCAAACTTAAAAATTTTAAATGACAATACCCACGCCAGAAATGTACCCTGATCACTCCACATATTCACACATCATTAAATCCCAAGAATTGCATACCCTAAATATCTCTATAACCTGTCTACTTCTCTCCATCTCCACTATCACCCCCTAATTGCAATGGTTACATTATTTCTCACTTAAATTACTATAACTATCATCCTAAATGCTCTCTTCATATCCTACTCTTGAATCCCCCAATCCATTTTCTACAAAGCAGACAAGTAATCATTAATAACCCAATCAAAAAAAAAAAAAAAAGGCAAAGCTATCTAGTTGTTATTTCCCACTTCTCCCACCCTGCTTAGCTTCTGAGATCATATAAGAGTGGGCACATTCACGGTGGTATGACTATAGATTTTCCCACTGCTCTAGCCTCATTTCAAGTTTCTTCCCCAACATCGTTAAGTTCTAATGACAAGAGCCTTCTCTGACTCCTCAAAAGAACCAAGGTCCTCTATATACAGTCTTGAGTTGCTCCTACTAACTGGGATATTGTAGCTCTCTACCTGTTCACCTAGATGTCTAGTATTATTTCTGGTGTCCACTTAAAACTCATCACCAAGCCCTAGCCAGTTTTGCTCAGGAGTTAGAGCATGGGCAGTGGACTGAAGAGTCTGGGGTTCAATTCTGGTCAAAAACAAAACAAAACCTCATCACCGAAAAGTACAGATAGCCTCAAAATCACCATGGCCCTTCCCTCCATTTTCTTATCAAATATCAACCTAAATTCTTCCTTTCATAACACTTAGTACATTAGTAATTTGTTATGTAGTATATGTTTATTTCTCTACTTAGATTTTAGAAACTTCACCTAAGAAGCAAAACTATACCTAAGTTGAGCAACATTATATTTCTAGCACCTAACACAGTACTTGGAACATTATAATGACCCTCTTCAAACAAAAAAACATTTCAAGTGATATATATTACACATTCATATTTAAATTTGACTGAGCCAGAACTATAGGTGTCATTGTTGATACCTTCACCATCACAAATACTGAATGAATGAATGAATGAATGAATAGAAAGTCTTATTAGAAAGTCAGGACTTGATGATATTTAAAACATAATTATCATACCTACCTATTACCTATCATATTCTGTGCTACTAAAAAAGATTTTCCTTTGTTCAATAGCATTCCTACTAATTTAAAATCTTTATAAAAAACTTTTATGGAAAATAAAAGATCTTAAAATTGTAGCAGGTTTTTGGATAAAAAACTCAATCCTGGCAAGAAATCAAATCATCCCAAATTCGTCTAAAAATTTAACATAAATTCCAACCTGCTTTTTTAGGTAGTAAGTGTGTGGGGGGAAAGGTAAGGTGAGATATAGATATGTATTATATAATTATAATACGTATTATACATATATATTACATAATTATAATTTTATATGCTGTTATTATTAGTTTTTAAAACTTTAGATAAGTCTAAAGGTCACATGCAAGATTAATGTATAAAATAATCAAGAAAAGCTTGAAGAAGAAGAAAAAGAAAAGTTTCAAGGAGAACCAAGATTGTAGCGTAAACATGGTACTTACTGCCTCCCACAACCACATCAAAATTACAACTAAAATACAAAATAACCATCATTCAGAAATCATCCTGAATGGAAGTCCTACAACTAAAGAAGTAAAAAAGAAAGCATATAAAGACTGAAAGGAGGGTGGAGCCCAGAATAAGCGGGCCCGATACCCATGTGTGGAGTTTCTTTTTTAATTGGGATGGATATCTCAGCCGTGGAGGCCTTCCGTGAGGAGTAAAGAGTTCCAGCCCATACCAGACACCTCAGCCCAGGCTTCCAGTGCCAGGAAGAGAAGTCCCCATAACTTTGGGCTATAAAACCAGCAGGGATTGTGGCTGAGTGACAGGGAGGCTGCTGGAGACCCAGGTCTGGCTGGCATATGGACTCACTCAGACTAGTTCCCTCTGAGCTCCAATGCTGGGGTAGCGGTTTGGAGAGATCCAGGGCCATATGCAGAGGAACAGGATTACTTGGCATCAGAGTTAAGAACTCAGGGGCACTTCCTTCCACACAGAGTTGCTCAAAGGATTCATTATTCCTATGCTGAGACCTCTTCCATCGCAGAGCTGACTGGCAGCCATATCTGAGTCTCCATCAACCCGACTCACTGTTCGATAACCCTGGTGATTCCCTGAGACCCCAGCCCATCAAATTTGCAGTCCCAGCCAAGCTGTTTGCAGCAGCTCTTCCATATGAATGGCCTGTCCAGGCTCAGGCTTCAGACTTTCCTAAAATCTCTCAAACAAGAAGCAGCTGGCATCCGTGTGCCCCACACCTATCAATAAGAGGCCCAAGACCTGGCACCAGCAGCTAGGTCTCACCTAGACACTTCTAAGGGCAACACAAGTAGCAGCCACCTGAAGATCTCTCTGTAGCTCCTGCTAGGTAGCCCCAGGTAGTGGCTGACTTTGCATCTCCCAGGAGACCCCAGAGGCAGTACACATGGTACAGAGCTTCAGACCATACCAGATTACAACTCTACACATCCATGAGCGACACACTCAAGGGGCAGGCTCAGTGAGCACCAGAGCCCCATTAAAGCCAGTCCTGATCCATAGGGGTGTCTCCTGCACAGCAGCTCTCCCACTTTCGTTGCAGCTGGTCCTCACAGCCAATTGGCCTGGAGGTCACTTCCTCCCAGTGACACCAATAGCAATTAAGGCTCAACTACAACAAGACTGTGCACACAGGAGCACAACAAGAATGCACAGCTCAAGGGACTGGGGAGACTGGGCCACTGGGCCCGACAGGACACATACTACACAAAGCCACACTACCAATTCCAGGAGACGTAGCAGCTCTACCTAATACATAGAAAAAAATACATGGAAGCAGTCAAAATGCTGAGATAAAGAAACATGTCACAAATGAAAGAATAGAGGAAATCTCCAGAAAAAGAACAAAATGAAATGGAAGTAAACAAAATACTAGATACAGAGTTCAAAACAATGGTTAAAAGGATGCTCAAGGATCTTAATAAGATCTTCAAGGAACTTAGTGAGAATTTCAAGGCTCTTAGTGAGACTCTCAAAGACCTGAAAAAAGACCAATCAGAAAGTAAGCATACTAACTGAAATAAGGAATAATTTACAGGGATTCAAAAGCAGAGTAGAGGATGCTGAGCATCAAAATCAGCAATTTGGAATATGAGTAAGCAAAAAACACCCAATCAAAAGAGCAAAAAGAAAATTAATACAAAAAAATATGAAGACAGTGTATGGAGCTTCTGGGAAACTTCAAGCATACCAACATTTAGATAATGGGAGTGCCAGGAGAAAAGACTGAGCAAGATATTGAAAACCTATTTGAAGAAATAATGCCAGAAAACTTCCCCTACCTGGATAAAAATATATACTTATAAGTCCAGGAAAAGCAGGGAGTCCCAAACAAGAGGAATCCAAAGAGG